CACCAAACCTCCCTATGGTGGATCTATCTCCCCTCCTCTACATCTCTGTTTCTGACGACGGAGCAGCCCCTCCCGACCACGCTGCCCCGACTTCCCCTCCTCCCCGCCGCCGGGATTGAGGATCACCCGGCGGGGCTCTTGATCCAACAAGGGCTACTAGCCAGCCAGCCAGCAACGTGTCTACAATCAAAGTAAATTCAAGCTTCACACAATAATGGATCACACCTTCCGAGACCAGCAGAATACATGTGGCTAAAGAGCACAAAAGTGGAATACCGGGAAAAAACCCTATCAACGTCCAAACTCACCCACGCGCCTTCGCTGAAGACGCATATTCAGAGCTCGGAAAGACATCCATCACGGCAACAACGGGGACACCACACCAAAAAAAATTGCGCACACCCATTCAACCATCCACAGAGAACTTTACACAACAACGAACACAGTAAACTGGCCCGCCTGTCCCGGAGGTGTTTGCAGATTTACTATTTGGCCCCACGAGTGATCTGCTGGAAAATGCGTGATATCTACATGAAAGCACGCTGTTATCCGCTCATCCCAATGCACCGTCGACTACCTTATTCCTGAACCTGTCTCACCAGCTAAAAAATAATCTGCCCACAGCTATCATAGTCACTCTACTCTAATTGTATGGACCCCTCCATCAGCAGTCAAGTAGGTAAAACAATCTGCCAATGTTGACCATCAACGACTACAAAGGAAGACAAACTAGGCTTAATGGGTTTAAGAAGCAACGCCGAGACTGCGCAAAATGTGGACCTCCTGCCTACATCATTCATACACTCAGACGGCTAACAGATATCGAAGTCTGTGACGCGGTGGTACCCACACTTTCTCTCATCCTGTTCATAAAGATATATGGCGCAGGTGTGGTGCAATATCTCGGCTGGTTCATGGAGCTAGTGTCGATGTAAGACTAGGATTTCAGTAAGGATGACGGTGTTGAGGGCAATGCCTGTGCAATCGTAGTATTTGCCGCGGGATAAAAATAGCCTAATCAGGAGAACAAACGAAGTGATCCCCCAAGACCTCCGCTAACGTCATACTGTCAGGATTTAGGTCGTCAGACAACCAGTCAGCGCAGGTGATTACCATTTACCCGGGGAAAAAGATATCGCCGTGTAATAAGAGGATGACTGCAAATAATTCCAATTCAATTGACCCGATTGTAAAAAGTTCGCGGCCTCGCTGGGAGTCGAACCCACACAGTAGGGAAGGCTTTTGCGCAGCTAATGCTCTACCATTGAGCTACGAGACTCAACGTGAGCAGCGAATTTAGTCGCACTTACACTCCCACCGAGGCCGTTAATTTTTTCATAACAGGGTCAACTGAATTAGGCAAATCTGCTAAATCCCCCTAACAATAATTTCAATAAAACAAAATCGCAATAAGCTTAGTGCAGGTATGGCATCGCATTAGTTCAGGG